AAATATGTGAAAAACAGGAATAATTTTGGATTCCAGTCTCACTTTTGAAATTGTACAGACTTTTGTGTATGTGACCAAGTGTGAATTTCTTAACATCAGTGTATGCGCACTTGAGTTTATTAAAATTTTGTACCTATTGTTTTTGGATTCCAGTCTCACTTTTGAAATTGTACAGAATTTTGTGTATGTGACCAAGTGTGAATTTCTTAACATCAGTGTATGCGCACTTGAGTTTATTAAAATTTTGTACCTATTGAAGAAAAAAAAAACTCAAAGGAAGTAAGTAACAATCAAAAAAATGGACTTCAGTTTTTCAATTCCCAACAAAACGGGCACCCTCAAACACTCACTCAAGATTATCCAATGCACAAAAGCAAAAGTTTTTCAATTCAGCTTATGTGCCATGAAGTTTCCTACAATTAAAAAATGGACTTCAGTTTTTCAATTCCCAACAAAATGGGCACCCTCAAACACTCACTCAAGATTATCCAATGCACAAAAGCAAAAGTTTTTCAATTCAGCTTATGTGCCATGAAGTTTCCTACAATTTAGTGCTTCAAATTTTTAAAAAATCTTGCAAATTGATCAAGGTATGCTGAAACTTACAAAAATGTTTTTCAACATTAGGGGAAGAATCAGAAAAAGAGTTTTTATGGAATTTTCATCATTATTATTCAAAAAATATAAACATTTTTGGAATTGTGGGCATTCATCACCAAAAAAACATTAACATTTCTCAAACCCAAAAAATTAGGATGGGCTGTAAGTTAAAATAAAAAAATTTTCTTCCCTTTTTTCTAGATTATCTAATGTACAGAATCTACAATTTTTATTTTCAGCTAAGGCATCATGGATTTTCTTAAATTTTAGGGTTTCAACCAAAAATGGTTGCCAAAAACTTTTTTTAGGTGAACCATTGAGCAAACCCCTTTTGGCTACTGAACCTTTCCCATTCCCAGTACAGCCCATGCCCCATGTGTTTCATCATTGGAGTGCCCATTCTAATAATTCAAGTTGCCCTAGATTTTCACCAATTCTTCTTAGTCATTTTCTGATAGGCAATGTGAGAAGGGAATTATGTCCAAATATGCAGGTGAAAATTTGTAAAATTTGAGTCATGCATAGTATCCTGTAAGTTTTCAAATGTGACCTGTGCAGTGATGAATGGCAGAAGATTTTAGATTGAA